AGAACATCTATTTTTTAAATACATATTATAACAACACTTGTTATATCTTCGGCACGAAATATCATTCGTTTGTAATTAGTTGATTATTTCTTCCAAACATCAGAACATAATATCAATTATTAGTATCACTTGAAGCAAAAATTTATGATATTTCAACAAAAAAAAATAATGATATTTCAGCAAGAAATATCATTATTCAATATAAAAAATGAAAAAATAATTCAGCATGAGTAAAAAAACGAAAAAAAAAGTTAAACAAGAATTCAACAAGATTTCAGCAACATATAATTAAGATTTTAGCAAGAAAAAAAAGAACATGTTGGAAGAGGCAATAAAAGTGTTGCCCCAAACAAAACACACACAATGATTTTTTACTCCGAAAACTTCTAAAAACAAACAGCTACGAGATGAAAAGTGTTGTGCGTATGCTTAACCGATTTCTTTGAGATATGTTGTTGTATGTGAATCATTGTCTTTTTAAAGTTGCAGCTTTTAAATAGTTTGTATAAAATACTTAAATTATTAATTTAATTATAACGTAAAATGGTTAGCTTAGGTTGATATTTTAATTAAAATTCAAAGAAAATCTAAAGATTATTTTGTAAATAATTAAAAATTATAAATTATAGTGTTAATATTATTTTTTAAATAGTTAAAAAATTATAAATTGTAGTGTTAAATGCAAAACCTAAACTATAATCCAAAATTAACTAAAAAAATTCTTAAAACTATTTTTATAATAATTAAGAGTTTCAACTGTTAAATGTGACTTGAGCATTTGGAGCATTTGGACCATGTTCATGTTGGACCTCAATGGAGCACTTAGAGTTCATGGAGCATGTGATAAAGGAACGGATCTTCTGAGAGAGTAATGGATCATCAGACAAAGGAACTGATCAAGTGTCAAAGGAACGAATCGTGTTCAAGGAGGTTTGGAGCACCTGGAAGGAGTTTGGAGCACTTAGAAGAGGTTTGGAGCACTTAGATGGGATATGGAGCAACAAGGGGTCCTTGTTGTGCCACATGATGAAGAGATGGGTCAAGAGGGATGCCCTTGCGCCATCTTGTTCTCCTATTGCACCATCTTGTTTTCCTGTTGCGCCATGCATGGCCTTGTTGAGCCATGTATGTGTCTGTTGCTCATGGTGATGTTGTTGCTCCAAGATTGATGTTGTGCGCCATACTTGATGCTCTTGCGTCATTTATATCCCCTGTTGCGCCAACTAGGGTTGTTGTTGCGCCATGAAGAAGCTATTACGCCATCATGGACCATCTTGGTACATGATGCACCATATTGATTCTTTTGTTGTGCCATGTTGATCAACGTATGCCTAGAAAATGATAATGCTCAAGAATGTTCCAGAAGATGTTGCATGGCAGATTATGATTGGTTGACATCCTTCATGGGCCTATGAGCCAATGGGCTTGACCCATTAGGGTTTTATGTTTGATCATTCAAGTATAAATTGGGATGAGTGCTAGGTCATTTTGTATCTTGAATTCTAGAGTAAATGGTGAATCTCTATGTAATTGTACTTGTAACCTCTGTGTTGAGAGCTCTGAAATAAAAAAAAAATCCCCTCCTGCCCGTGGACGTATGTCTCCTTGGTCGAACCACGTAAATATTGTGTCTTGTGTGTTTTTAGTTTTGCTAGTTATCCATTTTACTTCCTAACATCAACATTATATTTTTAGAATAACTTACAACAATAGTAATTAAAAATAATATCATATATAAATATTATATTGTTACATATAAAAACAAAAACAATATTTTTATGTTTTAAATAATCACAATGATAGAAATTAAAATGTTAAGTGAATAATTTATTTTAAAATTAATTAATTATAAAAAAATCTAAATATAATTAAACTATATATTATATTTAATTTTATTCATGATTAATTCATGAGTAGATACTATTAAGACGATTATATTGTTTTGAAAGATATGTCCTTGTTATATTTTAAAACTATATATCTATAAAGATTTTAATTATATATTTGTATTATGCCTCTAAATTAAAATGAAAAATCTTAAAATTGAAGAATATTTTTTAGGATATGTATTTTTAAAAATAAAATGTAATGGAATAGAAACATGCCTCTAAGGCAAACTGACAAACCTATAGGTTTGTTATTGCAGATACTCTTTAGATACGATGATCTTTTTTAATTTTGGTAAAGGGGCGATATAAATTTTCGAACACTCAAATATATGATTTTGAAGCCGCCGTTGGGACGATACTACCAATTGAACCCAAAAGATTCAGTTATTATTCATTGTGTCTTTTAAAACTTCATGTTTTTTTTCCTTGTTTGTTTATTCCTTTGAGTAACTTCTTACAAAAATATAAATTACTATACTGTAAAAAATAGAAGATTATTACGGTTAACAAACTTAACAATAACATCTTATAATTATAAGGGGTAATTACCAATATAATCAAATTAAGGAAGTGGTTAGCAATTTTTAGTTAAAAATTAGAAAATATCCCAAAATAGCCCACGAACCGTAGGTATTTATATGCATCTACTGTTTCGTAAAATCGTCTATTGTTTCGTGTTTTGTATAATTTTTTTTTTTCATTTTCAATATATAAAACCGTAGGTATTATAAAATCTACGGTTTGCTCTCTAAAACCTACGGTTTCCCAAACCTTAGGCTACGGTTTTTGGAAATTCTATTTTTTTTAATCTACGGTTTTGAGGTATAATCTTCAATTTTGTAAAAAAAAAAACTACGGTTTTAATTTTTTTTTTAAATAGAGAATATTTTTTGAGAATTATTTTCATTATAAAGAATGTTTATAACATGTAGAATTATTTTGACAATTATTTTGTTATTTTTTTTTTGAAATTTGTAAAATATAAAATAGTTTTTTAACAAATAATAAAAACAAATTGCCAATTTTTTTTTTTTTGTAAATTTGACTACAAATTTTTTTAATTTTACATCTTTTTTTGTTCTGTAATAATCTCGATCCATCTCATAATGAAACAAGTGAAAGACGCGACTGTAAAAAGAACCAATACAACATTATGGGGGACCATGTTGATAAGCTTCTTCTATGATGGTAATCCAAGCACCTATCAAAATTCATTCTTCTTGGGTGTTCCATGTTAGTGGTGTAATAGGCTCTATCTTTTATGATACAAACTAATGTCATATTACCGAATTGTTATATAGACAAGTTTATAATCTATTAGGTCTCATATAGTACATGCTATTCTGTGAAATTTTACACAAAAAACACATGAAATGTATCTATTTTACTGTTCGAAATAAATCGACTAATGTTCGAAATAATTAAAAATAGTGCATCCTATGGATAAAGCGTCACAATACTATAAGACATTGCTACTAATATAAATTAATTCAACAATCCAACCACTAATAAAAAACATACATAAAGACCAGAGATCTATTACCTTAAAATTACTAATAAAAGGCATACATAGAGATGCATTACCTAAAAATTACTTAAACAAACAAGCACATTATTAAAATATTACTCATCTTCTTCCCACATCGGAAACTCGTACGAATATTCTTTTTTCATAGCCTTGAATTCCTTTTTTGTTTTCTCCAAATTGTATTCACGAAGTGCTAATTCATTCTTTAGCTTTCGAACATTTTCTTCACCAGAGAGGATCAAACTCTTGGTATATTGGATTTCTTTCCTAGTATTTACGATCCAATTCTTTTTACGGTCAATGTCGTCCCAATAGTTGTCTAGAAGTTTTCATTGGAAGGCAAAATCCTTATAAGCCTTATCAACATCAGCTTCGCTTTGTATTAACACTTTTTTCATTTCCTCATCCATCTTCTCCCCGTTGGATGTAGATAGCTTATTGGTGGATGTAGATGGCTAATTAAATTTTGTCATTATCTTTTTCAACTCCTCTGATCTTTTTGTCATTTTCACACTCCAATTTTTTTTATTGTTTCGTTGATTTATGAATTCAAAACACATTTATGTTATATATGATATTAGTTAATAGTCAACGACTAGAAGATAGTAGTCAAAACCTATAAATCAAGTAGTCAATCGCATAAAGTAGTGGTCAAACGTTAGTAGACAATAGTCAAAATCTATAAAAAAAGTATTCAAATTACAATCATGTGTTTGAAATTCATACGATAAGAGTGCACATGAATCAGTAGTCAATGGCTAGTAGACAGTAGTCAAAACCTATAAAAAAAATAGTCAAATTACAATCATGTGTTGGCAAATCACAGTACATATGACAAAACATAATATAATAGTCAAAGGCTATTTGATAGTAGTCATAGTGTATAAAAAATAGATAAAGTATCAATTATATATAGATACTTATATGTATGGGTCTGAGATTTACAAATTGTATACTACTCGTTATTCTAGAACCATAATACAAATATAATCATGTCTACCTCCCAAGAAAAATGGTGATTAATGCCACAAAAGAAGCGATTGCAACTATTAATAAAAGAAGAAGAGATCAAGAGCGAGATTAAAGGCATTGAATAAGACAGGAAATGGTTGGATGACTTACAAGCCGATATTTGGTCTAATATGAGGTCGGTTCAAGACAAAGAACGCGACATAAAAACTGCAAGGGTTTGGGTACGAGATGCAATAGAGTACACCAACAAAGAAGAAGTTAAAATGGAAAAGGTTATAAAAAACATACAAAAAAAGAGTGTGTGCTTCAAGAAAAAACAAAATATCCAAATGGTTTTCCAAATCTATAAATTTAATCATTTTTTACTAATCAACTAGTAAGTTTATGTATTTTATATATGAGTTTATCTATGTAATATGTTTTATATATTTATTCGCTTGTTTTTTGTGATTAATTTATGTAATATGTACTATTATCTTGTTAGTTTGTTATATAATAATGTTGAATGTTTAATAATTAGGGGGCATTTTGTTAACATAAACTAAAATATAACCTTAACAATCATGTTGAAATATTGCACAGTAAATATCACTAAAAACCTACTAATCAAACTAATTTAAAATCGTTTTTCTAGAAGATCCATAATATATCATGCCCATCGTATTGCGAAACTGAGTAGCAGCAATAACAAATGATATCGATATACCAATCGGTTGACCTGAAACAAGCTGCTCCATGTACATCAACATAAATACACCACATTCTCCAAACATCCATTCTTGTTGGGGCACATCCATAACACCCGCAACAGTAATGGATGCTTTCTGAACAGGAAAATCCATGTGGTTCTTATAGCCAATGTTCAGTAGAATGTGGTCTATAAGCTCTTCAAAATGTACAAAATCAATAAGATTCACGGTGTCAAAACATCGGAAGTTGTCGTACAAATTCAACGACAACGTGTCCATCCACAACTTGTCAATAACCCAATGATGTGGGTTGATGCATATTGGAAAATAAACTTGATTTAACACACAACCGTTGCAGTTAATTAGAGCATATAATTAGTGTAATATTACAATTTAATTAACTCATATATATATATATATATATATATATATATATATATATATATATATATAATATTATTTTACTCACACAGTCAACTTCTAGCCAAGATTTACATCTATCTTACGGGTCAATCGGATTTTCCATTGCACTTCCTGCCCACTGGAACATCTCAAATGCACCAAAAAATAACGATGACATGATTGTCCATCATGCATCATTTGGTTTCCACTCATTCAAAAACCTTCCCCATATGTCAATATGCTACAGTTAAATTTAATTTAAACATAAGGAGGTTATAAATTATTAAAAATTTAAATATAAAAAATATTTCCATACCGCTTCATCTAAAAATCTCAAGTCACACCCGGTTTGTTTCCCATGTATACAGAAGGGACGTTACAACCCGACATCACATACGGCTCCAATAAAAGTGTCGGGGGATCGCTGACAGATACGGGGGTGGTGGTGGTTCGTTCTGTATTACCCCACTTGTACGATATCCGTGGGCATTTTGAACATACATTATGTACGTGGTCAATAACTTTCCATATAGTAATAAAATTTTACTAAATATAATTTTTAACATACTTACCGAAACGTATGGAGAGCTAAGATATTGAGAATGTTTCAATAACCTAACCGGACGACTTGGTTTTGCAATAGAAGGCTCGGGTATATAATTTTCCGCATCCACAATGTCGCTAGCAACAACCTTTTTTTTTTTCTTCTTCTTCTATAAAAAACATATTAATTTTTAATATACTTTCAAAAAATAAAAAATTTAATATACAAAAAAAATTATAACCTCCTTCACGATTTGTTTTTGTTTTCTTCAATCAAACTCTGGTTGATTATCAATATCATCATCCTCGTTTACTCGATTTGATATCCGTGGACTTCCAAATTGTTGGTCCATTGGGCTTGGCATCCGATAATTACCATCCACATTCTAATTCTCCTACATTTAAACAAAAAAAAATTAATAAAAAAGCAAAGCAAATTTAACAATTAATTATTTACCTCAAAAACTATGTTAAAAATTGATAGTAAATTTCTAAAATTATTATTTTACCTCAAAAGCTTCGTTAATTTTTTTTCCAAGTTATCCTCTTCTCGAAATCCTTCTTTATTTTTCATTCCTCGGATTTCTTCCTCCAAAGATTGAAGTCTTGTCGGTATTTATCAGGCTGTTCTTTTGTTAATTCTCACTGTATGAGTTTGTTCGGTGAACTGGGTAGATTGGTTGATTCCACTGGATGGATCAGACAAAGATGCCCCCTACATAAATTATTTGATTTATCAATAATAGTTGAAAATTATTAATATACTAGATTCTACTTTTACCATTTTACTACATATTTTCTAAAGTTGTACCGTACAGAAGAAGAGACTTCAGACGATTCACAATTCAAACTAGTAATATATGACAAATAATGTGCGTTACAGGACTCGACATCTGAGGCAATCATCTTTTTTTTGGGTTGATGCGCCTCGTCCTTGTCAACATCGAAAACATCGCAGACTTTCTCCCAAGTCAACCTCCTAATATGAAACAACCGCAAGATACGAGGATATAAATTATTTTGTCGTATTGCAGCATTTCCCCGAACTATTGAGAACATCTCCCATATCCATATCTTGTAATAAATATACATTAATTTATAAGTGTTAGCAATAAATACAATTATCAAAAAACAAACACAAAAAAATTATAAATATATTTTTTTTAATTAAGTAAAGACAAAACTTCAAAAATGGTCCCTGTGGTTTTCGAAAATATCAAGTTTGGTCCCTAATTTACAAAAACCTCACGGATCGTCCATGTGGTTTCAAAACTTTTAACATTTGGTCCTTTCGGCTTACTTCGTTACCATTTAGCCGTTAAGTCAACAACATTTTGCTCATTTCACTACACAGAGACCATTTATGAGGTATTCAATTACATTTTTTCAAATAAATAAATAAATAAATTTTAATATGCAAGGGGTCCCACCCCTCTCTCTCTCTCTCTCTCTCTCTCTCTCTTTTTCTCTCTCTCTCTCCCCGCCAAAATAATAAAGGACCATATTAACCCACCTCTACTGCCATCGACATTGCAACTTTCCCCTTCCATCTCATCGTGAACCACTGGATGCCAAAATATCCGGGCAATAGAGATGCCACCCACCATTGGCAAAACCTACTTCATCATCACCACTGCAGTGACTGTTGGAACACCCCTACTCGAACCATCTACCATCTGACATCGTCTATCGCTCTTCCCACTCATCATCCCCGCTGAGCAGAAGCAAGCAGGAAGCAAGAAAGGAAACCAGAGCAACCTCCGGCCACTACTACAGCCGCCATCTGCTGCTGCCACCATGATTCCAGTCGCCACCACCACCTTCTACTGCTTCAATCAATTTACAATGCAACATTACCTCTTCTGGAAGGATCTTAGGAGGATTGGTAGAGGACTAAGAAGCACAAGAATTTGAGGAGTGGGATTAGGTGAAGGGAATGATAATGGATAAGCAGAGCACCTACGATTCCTCATGCATGTATCCAAGTCTCTTACAATTTTCCCTTATTTTAATTCCAACTCCTTAATTTCCTATTCCCATATCTATACATGTTCATCTATTTGCTGAATTGGATGTCTTTGGACAGAAAATTGGAATTTTATGCTTCCAATGGTGATAACTCTTAAAGGAGGAGAACAATGCACTCCAAGTGCTCGATGAAACACCTGAAAGAAATGTTCCTTCATAAAACTGAAAGAGTATAATTTCACACCTAGAGGAGAAGATTGACTCTCAATTCGGACAGGCCACACTCGATGAGGTGTTTGGGTTACAACAACAGCAACACCACCCTTAGGGGTGGTGGTGTTTCTCGGTAGTGAAGGAAAAGGGGAAGCGTAGTAGAAAAACGTGAATGGAAGGCAATAAGTCGTGGTATTTGAGGGTGGGTTTGAGTGATCAAACGGGATGGAAGATGGATGGCTGGGTTGTGGTTTCCAGTGGGGAAGGAGTTGATGGCAGTGGTGGTTTTATGGCGGAAGGTGGTGCTACCGTATGGAATCGTAAGTGAGAGAGAGAGAGAGAGACAGACAGACAGAGAGAGATAGAGAGACAGAGAGAAAGAGAGGGTGGGACCCCTTGCATATTAAATATTATTTATTTGTTTATTAAAAAAAGTAATTGAATACCTCATAAATGGTCTCTGTATAGTGAAATGACAAAAATGCCCCTGAATTAACAGCTAAATGGTAATGGAGTCAGCCGAAATGACCAAATGTTAAAAGTTTTGAAACCACAGGGACAATCTGTGATGTTTTTGTAAATTAGGGACCAAACTTGATATTTTCGAAAACCACAGGGACCATTTTTGAAGTTTTTTCTTAAGTAAATATATCTTCAAAGGAATAACAAAACCCGATAGTGTATACACATAAGGTTTTGTTGGATGTTTGGACATATGATCCTCAAAAGTTTTAAACATACCCGACAATTTAGGGTATGTGTTACTCCATAGATAACTCCCCCAACAATACCTATATTTAAAAACAAATATATATATTAAACGTTTAAAAAAAGTATTTTATTAAAAATATTAAATTGAAATATACCTATTCCATTCATCCAGGTTCTCCACCACCCTCAAAAATTCCTTGGTGACTTTATCATTGACCTCTTTTCCCAAAAAAAAAAAAACTTGATTCAGAATATATAGTAAAATGGCACGGACACCGTCGTGAGCAGATATTTCATTAAACCATTAATTCAAGATAAGGAGCTCTAAATCTCATACAAGTAAACTAGTGTCCGTGCGATATGGGAAGACTCTGGACCGAAATGTATTTTCACCTTATCCGTGTTTATACATTGTTGAAAATTCGATCCTTGATCTAGGACACCGGCCTATGTAAAGTCCGGACACAATACAAAACTCCTCGGACCCAAATGATAATGTACGTCTAGAAAACCTAAAATGTAGATGCTCAGCTGCGTCTGTTTCAACAGTAGGACACAACATATGCAGTAACAACCCATGAATAAGAAGTTCGTCTCCGGATTGAGCTGGAAGGACCAATAAGTAACTGAAGCTTATTGTTGAAAAAATATCTCGCACTTGTCCATTCAAGCCACTCAAAACTTCATTCAACTTATGACATGAAGCTTTGACAGATATGTTACACATCATCCTTTTGTTTGGAAGCTACAAAATTAAATAAACATTAAGGTTAAATTAGGTTTTATAAAAGAAAAACAGTGTTAAAGAAGTAGACAACTCACACAATATAACACTTAATCATTCCTTTCATATATTCTATTTACATTGTATAAAATACCAAAGGAAATTAATTGACAACATTTTGGTATTTTCTATACTAATAGTATACCAAATATAGCATTGTACTTTGAAAACGGTGTGACAATAACATATTTTATAACAAACCTGAAACTACCAAAACAAAATGTTATTTTATCAATACATTATACCTCAAAGTATCTACACATTATAAACATAGAAACCTCTTCAAATAGATAGTACATTGCTATTGTATGATATAATCGAGACATAGAAAATAACATACTTTTTCACAAAATGCAAACATGGAATCATAACATATATACAATTTGTCACAACTAGAACTTTTAGCTAGGAAATTATGTCTTCATGTAAAATAAACTCTTATATAGTTTGTAATCTAAATTGATGTCATGTATTGTGCTCATTCAAAATCAACCGTTTGAATCAAAACTCATGAGTGAAGTTCAAAACCTAATTCAATACATCTCATATAGTCAACTGTGAATTTGAAATCCTAATATCCCGGTTCAAACATTTCAATGGACCAGGAATCATTTATTGGGCCTAATGGACCAATAAACCCTCAACTTGATTCTTTTAAGCTAAGAGTCTTCAATTGGGACCTAATTGGAACCACATTCATCAAACAATAGCATTTTAGGCCATAAGACTTCTCATCAGCCCTATTGGGCCTAAAATGTCTCACTTTGTTATCATGGGCCTTTATGGGCCGTAAATGGTTTCTTGAACATTAATGGGCCGAAAACCCATTTTGTTCATCCTTTTGGGCCGTAAACCTATAAAAGGGCCCAATGGGCCAAAATTTCCATATTAGACCCTATAACATTCAAATTTATTCATTAATGGCCCAAACTAATTCTTTTTTCTTCCTCCTTAATCCATTCTTGGTTTTGATAAAAAAAAAAAGATGGGAAAAACATTAATGAAGACACCTCATTATTAACTAGAGGTCTTCCAAGTTAATTACCTCACATGTTTCCATGATTAAGCATTCTAAACCTTCATGAAATAACCAACTAGGTCTCTCTCCCTCTTTTTATCTATTTCTCGGCCAAAGCCAATTCCCCACCACCATTCTCACTTCAAACTTCTTCAAACACCTCTCCCCTCCCATTTTTTGAAAACCGGACCGGACCGGTCGGTTTGACTGGTTCAACCGGGAATCGGTCTCGGATCCAGTTCTTAAAGGCCAAAAAACCAGTATTTGTGTGAACCGGTAAAAACCGATCGAATCGGTAAAAACCAATCCGGTTGAACCGGTAAAACTGGTCAAAACCGGAAATTTTAAAAATATTTATTTTTTTTCATTTTCTGTATTTTTATATTGTTAAATATAATTATGACATCATCCGGTTTTTTAGACCAGTTAGACCACTTGAACCATCGAAACAGTAAGACGACCAGTTCGGTCTCCGATCCGGTTTTCAAAACCTTGCTCCCCTCTAGCACATGAAAACTCCTTCATTCAATTCCATCAAATTCGTGAGCTTGGTGTGGGTTAGCTCAAGAAGATCTTTCAAGATCATCATTTGTAGGTAAGCTACTTTCTCATCAAAGTGTTTAACATTTTATGATAAGTCCTTCACTTCTTAACAAAGTCATCTCATGATACATGTTCATGAAAACTCCTAGAATTCGAAGATCTCCTCAAAGAAGAGAGTTAGGCCAAAAACTTTTCTAAATCTCCTTCCAAAACCAAAATCTTCAAACCAAAGTGAGTTTATACCCCCTATTTTCAATTTTTACTATGTTTTGGGGGAGAATACAAGTTCTTTGTGTAGATCTATGTGTATATGCATGATTTTGTGTGTTTTTCATGATATAAACATGATTATGTGTTATAAACTTCATAAACTTGAAAATATGCTAAAATGTGAGGATATTTGTAGAACACAACACATATTACAACTTATTATGCAAAGAGAAGGTTTAAAACACATCAAATTTGTTTAAAACTAAGAAAATTGCATGAGAACCCCAAAAATGACAAAAAAATCAAAGTGAGGTTATTTTATATATATATATATATATATATATATATATATATCACGGTTTTTAAGGGACCAAAAAGGAATTATTTTTGATAAACATGAATCTTTATGGTATTTGTGATTTTAAAAGGGCTAAATGTGTAAATTTTTGTAAATGGGTCTCATTTGGGTTTTCACGGCTATTGGGCCAAAATTGTAAATTTTTGGACTTGTGTGGGCTTAAATGTCACTTTCAACAAAGTTGTGCCAAAAATGTAAATTTATTAAATCCTAAGCCAAAAAGATAAATTTATTTATAAATGGGGCCGAGAATGCACATTTTCATAAAATTAAGCCAAAAATGATATTTTTGACAAAAGTGAGTTAAAAATGTTATGTTTACTTAAAACTAGCCTTAAATGCAAACATTTGGCCTTAAACGACCTAAAGTGCCATTTTTACAAAAAAAAAATGCGTCTTAATTGTAAATTTTCGGTTTTAGGATCAAAAATGTCTTTTTTTTTTTATTTTTTTATTTTTTTTAATTTTTTACAAAAGCGGGTCTTTTTATGTCATTTTGGTAAACAACAAAGCTTAAACAACCAACGTAACAACCCACGAATCAATTACGTCATTTATACTTTTATTGGGCCAAGAATATTATTTACATGCTTAGTGGGCCTTAGTTGTCCACTTACATGTTTATTAGGCATTGAATATACCATACATGCTTATTGGGCCCGGAATATAATTTACATGCTTAGTGGGCATTGGTTGTCCACTTACATGTTTATTAGGCCTGGAATATATTATACATGCTTATTGAGCCTGTAACATAATTTACATGCTTTTTAAGCCTTAGCTGTCCACTTAGGTGTTGTTTGTTTTTTTGAAATCAAAATGTCTGCAGTTTGCGGACCACATCTGCATGCCTCTGCGGCAGAAGAGGTGGACCAAATGTCTGCAGTTTGCAATAAGAAGACTGTTTGTTTTTAACGTATGTGGCTGTTGAAATAAATTGAATTTTCAAACTTAATTTCATGTCATAATTCATAAACATTAAAAATGCATTTTCAACAAATATGAAGACCTTTGAAGACAGTGGCTCATGTCTGTGCCAAGAAGAACTCGCGCAGATGTTGTTTGATCTGTGCACTTTCAAAAAACAAACACTCTGCGAGGTCATATATCTGTACGTTTTATGCGCGATGCAGACAAAAGTGATTGCGCAGATCTTCACACGAAAAACAAACAACCCCTTACATGTTTATTGGGCCTAGAATATACATTATATGCTTATTGGGTCTGGAATATAATTTACGTGCTTAGTAGGCCTTGGTTGTCCACTTACATGTTTATTGGGTCTGGAATATACCTTACATGTTTATCCGCATAATTTCGGTTAAGGATCTAGTGAGACACTTTGTTTAGCACCAATTGAGTGTAAAAACGTAGCCTGTAGTTATATAACCAGAGTTTCCCGGAGTGAGAGCAATAGTTTGTATATAGATCTATACGGGGGTGACACTCCATATCTGAGCAGTTCGCTACCGTTAGACTAGGCCAGTCTAGGGTGACAAACCTTACCTTAAACAAGTTGGCGTCTGAAAGACATCATCACAGGCGAAATTGTCATTATCAAGTATGGTTATAATGACTTACATAGAGGAATTAACACCATTATAAAATATAAGTGAAACAATCTTTTTGTGGATAACACGGTAACCTATACGTGCTGATACTCAACCTCGGGTGTTGAGTTCACAACGTTTTCATAAACAGACAACATCGGGTTGTCTGGGTCATTCTCTTTATATTCTCACAAACATTAACACACATGCATTAATACAAGATCGGGCAAAGACATTTCAAACCATTTTTAGGAAAATATCGGATTTTCTGGAAGTTACTAAGTAATACAAAACATTTTATTCAAATATGCTTATGAACTCACCAAAATTATATATGTTGACCTTTTTAAATTAACTTGTATTATCAGGAAATCGTTGAGCAGGTTGGTCAGCAAGAATACATGAATATTTGGTTATGTTTTGTTTTCATCATACTTTAGATATTTTGGCATGTAATATTGAAATGCAATACTTGATGTAAACAATGACGGTTGTAATATTACATGTGTGATGATGATGATGTTTTGTTTCAATTATATACACTTTGATGATACTACAAGAATGAAATCACTCAAGCCTCCGGACGTTTCCGCCGTTTGGTTCACGGGTGTGACACAATCGTTAAAATTCCGTAGAAACAATATATATATATATATATATATATATATATATATATATAATATATATATATATATATATATATAACCGTAGATTTTATATACAAACCTACGGTTTCTTTTTTTCTAAAAAAAATCACAGAATGGACAATATATACAAATGTTTATTGGTTATAAATTTTTTTAAATAAAAAGCCTAAAAAAACCATAGGTTATTTTGGAAACCTACGGTGTATAACCATTTAATGCACCGTAGGTTTCCAAAAAACCTACAGTTTTGCTATATATATATATATATATTTTTTTGAGTTTTCTAAAAAAAATCATGAAATAATACTATATATACAATTCCGATCATGTTGGATCAAATTTTGTTTAAAAAAAAAAACGAAAAAAAAAATTACATACGGTTCATACGAAATCGTAGGTGTACAAATCGACACTGCACAATCTGTGCATTGGGCACTTGTACAGCGTAGGTTTCGTATGAAACCTACGGTTTTATTATTATTTTTTCGATTTTTTTTCAAATAAAAATTTAACCTTATATACAAAACCTACTCCTAATCATGAATACGGTAAAATTTTGATGAAAAGTAGACACACATGGTTGTTCTTCGGGTGCTCAATTGAGAGAAAAAAGTAGGCAA